AGAATATACCTGACTGGTCATGGCAGGCCCTGAAGAACCCTGGGAACTGTAGTCCTGGAGAAGGCACTGAGAGCCCTTCATTGGAGAAACTCAACACCCTCTCCACTTCCCAGAACTACTAAGAGTTTGACATTGGCTTTCAAGCAAGCTTAAGATTTGTATCATGGTCACATCTGGGCGGCACTTGTTTTGGGAAGCCATAAACCTGTTCTGGTGTTATAAAATCTGTGGGAGGAGGGGGGGAAAAACAGCTGAGTAAATACTTTCAGAGAGGGAGGGACACCTATTGATTCTAAAAATATACCACAGTCAAGTGGTACTTGAGAGACTAACAAGATCTTGTTTACAGCTTTTCTTGGACCAGAACCAAGGGTGTTGGATACACGTGAGACACAGTCAAGGGGGCTCTGGTTCACAAAAATATATGCTGGGACAAAAGCTTGTTAGTCTCTGAAAGGCTGTGAGATGCCTGGGCATTTTTGCGGCAACCAACAATCACAGCTACCACTCCAGAACGCCTAACACTTCCAGAAAGACTGGAACAGTGAAACTACCTCCTCCTGCACCCCCCCTCCAGAAGAAAAACAACAGAAAAAGTCATACACATAGGGTCAGACAAAGGGAGAAAGCAATAGAACATAAGCCCTTGTTCGCCTAACACTTCCAGAAAGACTGGAACAGCGAAACTACCTCCTCCTGCACCCCCCCCTCCAGAAGAAAAACAATGGGAAAAGTCATACACATGGGGTCAGACAAAGAGAGAAAGCAATAGAACATAAGCCCTTGTTGTTGGACAAACACCAGGAAAACACACACAGATTGATGACAAACATGTGCTCTCCACCTTTCCCGGGGAAGCTGTTTTTCTCCTCTCTCAGCCCTTCCCATGGAGGAAATATTCAGATTCAAAACAAACCGGATCATGATGAAGCAGGGGGTGGGGCTGCTGAGCTTCAGGGACAAAACACACCAGGCCAGCCACACAGAGGATCGCCAAGATCTCGACCCCCCCACCACCACCAAGAGGAAACTGTTTATTGCTGCTAAACTCAGACACAAGTGCTGTTTACAAACAAGTTCAACAAAAGTGAGGGAAAGAACCCATCCATCTCTCCTGCTCAGATGACTGTTCTCAATCCTACAGGACAGGTCTACTAAAGAATCCAATCTACGGCACTTTTTTTGGCCCCCACGGGGGGGGGGGGGGGAGCAACTTGTGCCAAGTTTCCTGGAGAAGAGTCCAATTCACCACAGGCAAGCAGCTGTTCAGTGAGGGGGCTCTCCTGTACAGGAGATTTAATTTCTATCTACTGACAATCGGTTCCACCCAGACCAAACCACACAGCTCGGACCAGCGAGCAACCTGAGCTAAGAGTGGAGACACAGGAAGTTAACTGAGGAATTATCCAACTGACTTGAGTTGCCAAGGCAAGCCATACTCTAAAAAGAACTCCAAAAGAACAAGTCAGCTAAGTAATCCTCGGTTCCCATTTCACTTCAGCCACAAACTCATCTGGTGGCCTTAGGCAAATTAATACTTCCCAGGTGTTCCCAGGAGACGACTGGAGAGCCAGTAGTGTTGCATACTGGTTAGCATGTCAGATGAAGATCTGGAAGATCAAGGTTCAAATCCCCACTCTGCCGCCAGGGAAGCTCACTGGGTGACCTTGGGCCAGTGAAACACTTTCAGCCAAACCTACCCCATAGGGTTGTTGGGAGCATAAAATGGAAGAGAGAATGGTGTAAGCTGTTTTGGGTTCCCACTGGGGAGAAAGTTGTAAGTCAATAAACATAAGACAGCCTACCTACAGACGTGAAGGTCCAGGGGACCTTCCCCCCTCCCAAAAAATGTCCCCCTCCCCCCCAAACATTTTTTCAATTTGTAGAAAAGACAACCAATGCAATATTTTCTTTCAGAATGGGTGATATGCCTTTTAAGACATGTTTTACTAAGAATATATAGTAGACAATGTTACCTAAAACAATCTATAACATTAGATAATGGTAATTACTGTGTATACTTCAGGATATATTTGTGTATATTTCAGGATATATTTATTGTCTAACTAATTTATCTCCAATATGGCATAATATATGCGACAATATAATACACTTGTTTTCAATATTAAACAACATAGCTCCCTCTTCCCCCCAGCCAGTTCTTAGAAATCCAAATATATACACACCAACAAGCCCTACAGCTGGCTACTGTGAATACTCCCTGTCAAGCCCCAGAAACCCCTGGTGTCTTGCCACCCTCTGGGAATGAACCCATGACCCACAGAAGGAAAAATACTATGAACTTTTAGATGCCCAAACCATATCTTTTTCAGTGCAAATCCTGTACTAGGACAGAAAACATTAATTTATATACCTCAGGGACATCTTTTCAGGTTCTTCAGATTTTTCTAATCCCAGCTACAAATGTGTGCTTTTACAACCCTTGCCTTGAAGGAAAAGCCATTTACTTCTGGTGTGACCACATAAATAAATAGAGGTGGCTTCGACTGAAATCTCACTTTCACCATGAACTCACTAGGGGGCCTCCTCTGCCAAAGCCCCAGAGATCCTAGACATATGAATAATGTTGGTCTGCCTGACAGGATGGTTGCAAGGATCATTACGACGAACTTTTAAAACTCTTGTTGGGCACTGCCTAAATCCTAAACGTGAAAATCAAATAAGGGACGCCATTTCCTTATCTCTAGATCTAGGTTTCATGAGGTTAGCCTGCCCAAACAAACCACCACTGGAGCTTGAGGACTCAACACAACCAGCTTCAAGATGACTCACGCAAGTCGTGTCTCCACCTAGCCTCTTCAGGAAGAGAAAATAAAGGATCAAGGCGGGAAGTCTGGCTTGCAAAACGGGCTTGTAAACTTACCCAATGGCACTTCGTCTTCCAGAAGTGGCCTAGAGGAAAAGACTTCCTTTTGTTTACCTCCCTCAGCTCCTATGACGTAGGACCTATTTAGCCACACCACACCTCTGGAGTCTCAAGCTCCGTTTATTCCTCCACTTTTGGACTGAAAAGTCTCCAGACAATAGAGCACAGGCTAAAAACTACAAGCTCCTGACTCAGCCTGAGGAAGTGACCAGGAAACTACTATATCCTCCATTTTAAGCACCAACTGGGTAACAAAAGCACAGCCTCGTAGTCTATCTCCTTCTCCCAGTTGGTGGCTTGGTTCTTTGGTAGAAGCGAATGTTACACGCATCTGCCCTGCTCAGAACAGTCAAATTGGTTTTGGCCCCTTCTGTCTCCCCACATAAGCCCACAAAAGAGAGCTTTCCTCTCCTGCTCATCAACTCAATGGCCCAAAACAACCAACCCTCTTCTCATTGAGACTACCTTTGCCTGGACGCAATTTTTAGTCACCACAGGAGACCAGGCCGGCCCTGTCCTGACCATTACTACATCCTCCAGTATAGGAGACAATTCTTCATTCCAATATTATCACACTTTCCTTCCACCCCCAAGAAGGGAGGGGGAATGATTCGATCATTATTTTCGAGGGGGAAACATCAAAACTATTGTACTTGTAAATTGATACCAGGGTGAGAGGGAGATTTCCAACTTCCATTGTCATTGAGAAAAATGGTTCCACTAATTAACTACTTAAAGAAAACAGAGTTTAGTCAAGTCCTATTATTTACTGGTAATAGTTTCAGCTGCTTTAAAATAATTATTCAAGTTGTTTACACTGTATCAAGAGAACTGAAAATTGTGAATTTCCCCTATTAATGGGAAGAATTTGAGCATTCCAAGCTATTCAGAAAGAGATTTGCTATTTTCTTTAAGAGAAGGTAGGTGGGGTCACACACACACACTGGATTCTTGTATTGTACTGCTGGGAGCAACTTATTACCACTCAGAAGAATAATATCAACAACTTAATTTGCTTTATCATGAAGTGGGGGGAAGGGGTGATTAAATGCCTATGACTACTGAACAAGGGGACAAAAGTGAATTATCAAATACTTAATTACATCAAAGGATGGAGAAGATGGAAGTTATACCAGGCATTGGGGTCATTTGGAAAGAAGGGAAAATCAAAGATATACACTCTTCTGCACCTCTACTCAGAAATACAGTTGAAAGGTATAGCCTTCATACGAATGCATAGCCAGACACTTTGTACTTAGATGTTTACTTCAATCCACCATTTCCTATTTATATGTTTATTTTTAAGTAGCACATACACTTTCATGTTTTACCATTTAACATTTCTGTTCATATTAACAGGTGGGACCGGGGGAGACAAAAAAAGTCACAAAAATAAATCCCCCTTCCAATCACCTTCTCCAAATGATCTAGGCACCTTTATCCAACCAATCCCTCCCCCCCACCTGCCGTTTCCCACCTCGGGTAAACTCTCAACATTCCCTGCCTTCCTCCTGGAGCACTTAGGCCTCAATAGACCAAGCCCACCTCGCAGCCCACTTTTGTCAATTCATATTTTTCCCGAACCCATGAACTGGAAGAGCCCCCCCCCCTCAATTTGACTGGTCTCCTGATGGGCATCAGCCAAGGCCAGGCTTGGATAATATTTGTTGGATACATGGAACAAGATGCCTATAGAATAGGAAGTTAATTGAATAGTAAGGGTATTTACTCTCCCACCCCCAAAATATTCCATCTCACTAGGGATGTCAGCCTCCAGGTGGGACCTGGGGATCTCCTAGAATTACAGCTCATCTCTAAACTACAGAGATCAGTTCCCCAGGAGAAAAACGGATGTTTTGGAGGGTGGACTCTGTGGCATTGCATCCCACTGAGGTCCCTATCCTCCTCCAGGATCCATCCCCAAATCTCCATGAGTTTCCCAACCTGGACCTGGCAACCCTAGTTTACTCAGCACTTTGAGTGGATGGGGGGGGGGCATTCTACCCCCTTAATATTATGGGATGCCGCCCGAGAAAGGAAGAAGAGTTGTTTTCTCCTAAGACCACGACCTGTTTCGGGGGGAGGGCAGGGGATGCATCCTCTCCTTACTCACTTTGAAGTAGCCACCCTCGTAGTGGGTATTGGGGGGCCCGAAGATGGCCACCTCCCAGTTGTAGAGATCCCCCTCGTCCACCAGGCTGACTCGGAAGCCCTCCACGGGCTCCTCCTGAAGCCCCTTCAGTTCCAACAGTAGCGCCTTCTGAGAGCTGGGCACGGACGGCCGCGCCATGTCGCTAGAGAAGGAGGAAGGGGGAAGTAGGCCTCAACTGAGCCGGGGACTCCGTTAGAGACAGACGCCGGCGGGCGGTCGAGTGCGGGCGGGGAGCGAAGCCGCTGCGGACCCGAAAGAACGCTGCCAGCCCCGAAACCAGCCAGCGCGCGCGCAGTGTCGCCTGGGACGCGTAGTTCTCAGCAGGAGAGGGATGCCGTAGCGCCCGTGGTCACGCCCACCCGACTAGCATTCACCAATGGCGTGGGGAGAGGGCGGAGTCCGGATGCAGAGAGAGGGGCCTCGTGAGCAAGACGAGGCCGTAACAACAGTTCCCATCGGCCTTTGCGCGCCGCGGCTTTCTGATTGAGCGCTGCAGTATCCATCACAACAAGAGCCGGCGGGGGACGTGGTGGCGCGTCACGCAATGAAGGGTTTAGAGTGACCGTAAAGCTCTTCCCCTAAATCTATTCCCATATTTTTAGCCAATATAACTGTATATCTAAGTAATCCAGAAATGCACAAGAACCATTTATGGTCATGGGTGCCAATCTCCAGGTGGGGCCTGGAGATGTCCCAGAATTGCACCTGATCTCCAGGCAAGAGCAGTCAGTTCCCTTGGGGAAAAATGACTGCTGGTGTGTGTGTGTGGACCCCATGGCATTGTGCTCTGTAGAGGTCCTTCCCCTCCTTAAGGTGCACTTCTGAACCTTCAAGGATTTCCCAATCTGGAGTTGCAGTCCTGGCCGGGAGTCATGATGGTCTGGAGCAAAGTAAAACGGACCTAGTGCTGGTTCTGAGGTCTCTGAGGTGCTGCTGGACTTGAATCCTGCTCTTCTGCAGAACAACATGGCTGCCCTTTGAAACCATTTCCTCCAGGTGAACTGATCTCTGAAGGTCATTTTAATTTGGGAGAACTCCAGGACCTACCTGGAGGCTGGAAACCCTATTAGCTCTCCATATCCAAGTAGATGTGCAGAGAATTTGTGGTATATTTCTGGGCTCGGTGGCTGCCCAGGATAGCCCAATCTCATCAGATGGCCTGGGATAGTCCAGTCTTGTCAGATCTCAGAAGCAAAGCAGGGTCAGGGGGGTCAGCCCTGGTCAGACTTTGATGGGAGACTACCAAGGAATCCTGTTAAGCAGTGTAAATGTATAAGTTACCGAGAGCTACTGAGTTACACAGGAACCGTTTATGCCTAGAGCTGCCAACTAGTACACTGATTATCTGCTGATGGGTGGTCGGGCTGGACTCCACCCCAGGAAAACTGGCTAAGGGGCTGGAAGCTGTGGTGAGATGGTTGAAACAGAGCTGGCTGAAACCGAATCCTCCTAAGATGGAGGTTTGTGGCTGGGGCAGGGAGATTCTGGTTTGGGGTGCCAACTAACGGCTCGACGGGGTGCCCTTGAAACCAGCACTAACCGTCAAGAGCCTGGGTGTGATCCTGGATGCCTCCTTAACAACGGAGGCCCAGGTCACAAATGTTGCCAGACTGGTGTTCTTCAAACTGTACCAGGTCGGGCAACCGCCCCCCCCATGCTCCCTCTAAGCTGTGGAGTCTTGTGAGCAAAAATTCTACTTTGTGGGCTACTGGTGTTAAATTTGGTTACTGCATAACTTGGTTTGCTCTGGAACCATCCTTCCTCAGCTAAGACAAAAATGTGTGAGCCGGAGGCTAAAATCTGCTAGCTCACACAAACTCAGGTTAGAGGGAAAACTGCGGGCCCTACCTGCCCCCCCCCTTTCTAGCCATTTCACACAACGGTCACCTCCAGATTGGATTGCTGTAACTCGCTCTATGTGGGCCTACCCTTGAAGTTGACCCAGAAACTCCAAGTGCTACAGAATGTGGGCACAGGAGTCCTTACAGAGACTCCATGTACAGCACACATCCACCATGCACAAGCTGCACTGGCTTCCAGTGGAGTACTGGATCAAGTTCAAGGTTCTGACCTTTAGGGCCCTTAATGGTCCAGGACCTATGTATTTTGGGGACCACCGTTCCTGGTATACCCAAGGAAAGCACTACGTTCAATAGGTCAAAATCTGCTGGTTGTCCCCTGCCTGAGAGAGATCTGGCTGTCCTCAAACAGAACCAGGGCACTCTCTGCCCTGGCTCCTACCCAGTGGAACTCCCTGCTGAATAGCATCCTTGCCTTGCGGGACCTGATACAGTTCCGCAGGGCCTGTAAGGCAGAGATGTTCTGCCAGGCATTTGGTTGAGGACAGTGACGATTTCATCCTTTTGGGCACTCCTACCCCCTGCCTCCCCATGAGGCCCGTAATGCCACTTTTTGGAACTGCTGTGTGTTATTAGTTTGAATCTGTTTTTAGAAATATTTACATGATATCAGGTTGCACACTGCCCCGAGCCCAGTTCCTCTGGGGGAGGGTGGTTGAAAATAAAATTTAATAAACCAACAAACCTCCAGGTGGGTCCTGGATATCTCCAGAACTGAGACAACAAAGATCAGTTCCTCTGAATTAATAGGCTGCTTTGGAGGATAGACAACTTTGGAGGCTGCTTTGGAGGATAGGCTCTCTGGCATCACATCTCTGCTAAGGTCCCTCTCCTCCCCAAGCCCCGCCCACCCCAGCCTCCACTCCCAAATCTCCAGGAATTTTCCAGTCCATCGTTGGCAACCCTATCCTTGGCACACCAACCGGAAAAGGGTAGGTGCATGAGTCTGTTGTAGGAAACTAAGACAGCAGTCCAGTGGCAGGGGCCCCTTGAAGATTTATAACAAAGCTCATACGAAAATGTGGACATTTGAAGGTGCTGCTGGACTTTTCCTTTCTTTACCTCGATGGGTCACCTGCTTGCAGCATTTCTGAGTAGGGATGCCAGCCTCTGGGTGGAACCTGGGGATCCCTTCAGCATTACACCTCATCTCCAGACTACAGAGATCAGTTCTCCCGGAGAAAAAGGCTGCTTTGGAGGATGGACTCTATGGCACTGTACCCCACTGAGGTCCCTTCCCTCCCCAGGCTTCATTCCCAAATCAGGAAAAAACTAGGGACCACAGTGTATGTAAACTAAAACGCAAAAAACACATGAGAAACTTTTTTCATATATAAAAACTTAGGCTTTAGGTGTAAATCAAAACTTATATAGTTCTCTTCTTTTATTTGATGCCTTTGTTTGTAATGTCTCTTTAACTGCTATACTGATCAGGTGTACTATGTGTAAAGGAAAAGGTTTCATTTGAAGGTGCTGCTGGACTTTTCCTTTCTTTACCTCGATGGGTCACCTGCTTGCAGCATTTCTGAGTAGGGATGCCAGCCTCTGGGTGGAACCTCGGGATCCCTTCAGCATTACACCTCCTCTCCAAACTACAGAGATCAGTTCTTCTGGAGAAAATGGCTGCTTTGGAGGGTGGACTCTATGGCACTGTACCCCACTGAGGTCCCTTCCCTCCCCAAGCTTCATTCCCAAATCAGGAAAAAACTAGGGACCAGTGTATGTAAACTAAAATGCAAAAACACATGAGAAACCTTTTTCATATATAAAAACTTACGCTTTAGGTGTAAATCAAAACTTATAGAGTTCTCTTCTTTTATTTGATGCCTTTGTTTGTAATGTCTCTTTAACTGCTATACTGATCAGGTGTACTGTGTGTAAAGGTAAAGGTTATCCTTGCTCGAAAGCCAGTTGAATCCAACTTTAGGGCTGCGGTGCTCATCTCCGTTTCCAAGCCGAAGAGCCAGTGTTGTCCGAAGACGTTTCCGTGGTCATGTGGGCCGGCATGACTAGACGCCGAGGTGCATGGAACGCTGTTACCTTCCCACCGAAGCGGTACCTATTTATCTACTTGCAATTTCTTGCTTTCGAACTGCTAGGTTGGCAGGAGCTGGAACCAGCGATGGGAGCTCACTCCATCATGCGGCACACTCGGGTCTCAAACTGCTGAACTACCAATCTTCCAGCCTGCAGTTCAGCATCTTATCCACTGAGCCACTGCAGTGATCCTTTACCATTTAAAAACTTGCCACCAAATTCAACTGGATTAGAAGCCTTCACAGAATTTTTAGAAAGCATGCTATGCTGCAGAATTGGCAGTGTAATTTAAGTCTTTCAGTTTGATGGTAAGTGGCTACAGGGCCTACTTAAATGTTTTGTATTATTTAGGTTTAAGACCGAACGGATAATGGGATGAAACCATAAGCCTGTAACTTCTAAAGAAGAGCTGGAAACAGTGTTTACTGGAACAGCTGTTGAGTCATACGCAGTTTTGTATCTGATTCTTTGGTTTTACCAGTCTTGATTTCCACCTCCAAATTTCAGTTCTCCAGCCTGGCTCTGGGAGCCTTACCCCCCCCCCCAACCCCCCCACCCAACCCCCTCCAGTAGCCAGGGAGGACCGGGCAACCCTCCTTCTGAGCATCCGGCTCACATTCCAGGAAAAGGCTGTCTCTTTAGACGTCAGAAGAATCATGTCATTGTTACAGTCAGTCCAAGAGAAAGCAGTTTCATTTCAGAATTACAACAAAATTTGTCCGTAATGGTTGTATCAAGCTTGTGGAGATACAGGAGTTCAGTGCAGCTGAATGAGGTGGTGGAATGGGGTAGACCGCTGCTAAATGCAAATCCATACAACGAAACTTCTTGCAAGCTGGCAACTTAGCAGGGTGACTGGTTCTTATTGGGTGTTGTAAATAAGAAGCGGGAGACTGACCTGTTATGAAGGTGCACAGAGAGTTTATATAGTTATAAAGGTGAATATATACAGAGATATTTACAGGCTATTGTACAGCATGTCATGCCTTAGTCTATGAGAACTATGTCCCCCCCCCCCAGCTATTATGCTAAACCCCAGCCAATCTCTAACAGGGTGATGCAGTCACTAACTCTAAAATTTTAATCACTAGCTCTAACAAGCCCTGAAAGAGCAACATCTGCTAGAAAACACCTGGCTGTAATTACATGATTACTAGCATGACAGCTAGGTCTGACAAACAGATCAAACTGATCTATAGTAACTGCTTGCTACCTCTATCACTCTGACATATATCTCAATATGCCTTCCATTTGCAGAACTAGAGTAAAACTTGCAGAGGTGTTGAACTCATGTTACAAGGGCCAGATCGGACAGAAATGTCACTTTGTCCCACATACGGGAGAGATAAACTTTATAAAGGACACAAGCAAACCCAATTAACAGTATTATTTTTTTTACT